CCCACTCCAGTCTGCTTTCTCCCCTGAATGCAGATGTGATGAGTACAGCTTGAGAAGACTCACACGAGGCAGCCAACTCTCAGACCCGACAGTGTGGAACCAGGGTGTCTCAGTCACGGTTCGGTTGCTGTGAGGAAACACCACGGCCAAGGCCACTCTTAGGAAAGGAAGCATTTACTTGGGTCCTCCTTCACAACAGATCCCGAATCTGATCCATGTGGACACTTCGCTGTTTTTCTGGTCCAGGCCACTGCCATGTGTGACCTGGGTTTGTACTATAGCCTCCTAAAGGGTCACACTTCCATACCTGCCTCCTCTACAATCTCTTCAATGCAACAGCCATAGGTAGGCATGATGATGTACACCTGTAATCCTAGCACTCAGAAGGTAGAGGCAGGGGGCTGACAAATTTGAGGCCAGCCCAGGCTACACAGTGAAACCTGTCTCAAAAATACATACATACATACATACATACATACATGCACATACATTGTCTTAGTCACTGTTATATTGCTGTGAAGAGACACCAGGATCAAGGTAATTCTTAAAAAGAAAACATTTAATTGGGGACTTGCTTACAGTTACAGAGGGTTAGTACATTATCATCATGGTGGAAGCATGGTGGCAGGCATGGTACTAGAGTAGTAGCTGAGAGCTACATCCTGATCCATAGGCAGAGAGAGAGAGAGAGAGAGAGACAGAGACAGAGAGAGACAGAGAGAGAGACAGAGAGACAGAGAGGAAGAAAGAGACAGAGAGAGAGGGAGAGACAGAGAGAGAAAGAGACAAAGAGAGAGGGAGAAAGAGAGATTGAGAGAGAGAGAGAGATGCTGGGCCTGGTATGAGCTTGAAACCTCCAAGCCCCACCCCCAGTGACATATTTCCTCCAACAAGGCCACACCTCCTAATCCTTCTAATCCTTCTCAAACAGTGCCACTCTCTGATGACTAAAAAGCATTCAAATATATCAGCCTATGGGGGCCATTATTGTTCAAACCAACCATACAGTGCAAGCAACAGCCTGTCTCAGGACTTCTCTTTACATAGTAAGAATAATCCTATACTTTTAAGCACTGCGATTACTTTTTTTCTGTTACTTGTAGCCAAAAGCACTCTAATTAAAATATATTAGAAGAATGCCTCACAGCCCCCCAGGTAGAAAACTGGCCTTTAGATCAGATGCACGGGAGACATGAGGCTAGGTCATACTCTTAGGACTATACTGAATTAATAAAGGAAACGTAAGGGGACATGTGGGCAAGAGATGATTTTAATTTAGAATTTGTATTGCATTTATTTACCGTGTATACACACGTACCACGACAAGCATGCGGCACTCAGAGAAAAGCTTGCAGGAGTCATTTCTCTCCTGTCACCATGTGGGTCCCAGGGGTTGAACTCGGGTCATTAGACTTGGTGGCAGACGCCTATATCAACCGAGACATCTCACTGGGACCCTGCCCTCGTTCCATGTTTCTTGCTGAGGTTAAAATACTCTGACAACTTAGGGGAGAAAAGGCTCGTTTTAGCTCACAATTCCATGTTCTGCCCTATCACTGTGGGACAGTCACAGCATCAGGAGCTCTCCACAGTCAGCAGCAGAGAGAAACGGACGCGTGCTCACGTGCTTGCTTGTGCTCAGCTTCCCCACTCTCACACCGTGGAGGACCTCCTGCCTAGGGAACGGTGCTGCCCACAGTGGGCTGGGTCTTCCCACATCAATGAACTTAATTAGGACCGTCCCCCACAGACACACCCACAGGACAACATAACATAGGCAGTCCCTCATTGAGACCTTTCTCAGGCGAGTCTCCACCGAGTCAAGTTGACGGTTAAGATAATCACCACATTATTGTGGCAAAGGCCACATGCGGATGTGGTTGAGATGCATCCACCATAGAGTAGTGAAGGTTCTATTCTGGGCTATTCGCCCTAATGAAAGAACATGTTTCCTTTGTCTGCAATAAATGAGAAGGAAGGAAACTCAGGATGGTGGGCATGTGAGGTCAGATGACGAAAGACCAAATGTTAATGACCATCTCTACCTTCATGGTCTACCTCCTTTGGTCTCTTTCCATGACCTTATCTTAGCAGAGAATGCATGCTCCGTTACAACAATCCTCAGTGGGCTGAAGTATCGTGTCTTTTCCAGTGGACCCACGGCCCCCAATTCCAAGCCAGGAATATACAACTTTTATTATTTTTGGAAAGCCTGTCTAAAGAGCAAAAAGTGTCTGCGTGATACTTCCTGGGAGGTGGCTGTCGAGTGGTCCTTCTAAATGAAAGCTAAGCACAAGGCATCTATTTTCTTTCTGGGGGCTGGAGAGAGAAAAGTACATTTAAAGCGTTCTTAAGTGAAAATGTCCACACTGGTGTTTCATTGTCCAGCCCACAACGTCTGATTACTGATCCCCTCGTAGGTCTGTGGGTGGCTGTGCTGAGAAGTCAGGGATATTCAGTCACAGCTGTCCCCCAGCACACAAGCCTCAGGAACCCCTCAGGCCCAGGCTCCCTCTGTGCCAGCTAATTGCCACTTGTCGAGGCTGCTGGTCTCTATTCATGGCAATTTATCGGTGTGTGGTTAATCGTTCCCTTCAAAGAGAAGGGAAACGCTGACGTGAAATATTTTGGACAAAGGACATATTTGAGAGCTTGTTTCAGAACTCTCTGTGATGATGGCAGGTCACAGTCACAGAGCAGAGATGCCAGCATTGCCAGAGTGACTCAGGAAGACCGGACACTCCTCCTTAATAATAGGACATTTTCTTCGTCTGGGAGGAAGTGGAAGTAGCAGGGATCAAGGTCTTTTCAGCTCTCCAAGGCAGGAAGAACTGAACTTTCATACTGTCCTACTTTTGTTTGGAGCTTTCCTTTTGATTCCTTTTCACGGATGTTTTCCCTTTGTCTGTCTTCACTGCCTGGTTTCCTCTACAGAGTGAAAGTGAGTGGACCCGGCAGCCATGAGTGGTTCTTTCAGACTATTCTGGGCTCCAGGGAACTTCTGGCCCTAGATAGAAGCAGAAGCCTTTGCTGAGATGGCTCAGACACCACCAGATGCTTGTCCGGCAGCCTGAGGCCTGCAGGTACGAAGAAGGTGTGGGCATGAGTGCTGGGTGATGAGTGGGGGCTCCCTGGTCTCTCCTCTCCCTACCAGGCAGGCCTGGAAAGCACACAAAGCCATGCTCCACTTCAGACAGAGGTCTCCATTACACTGCACCTGCTCCCGCCCCCATTTCAGAAGACGACACTGTCAGCATCCATCCATCATCATCCCAGAGTCTTGGCCTCCCTCATCTGTCTGACAAAGACCTGTCAATTTTTAAAAGTTCTTTAAAATTCTCTATCTCTTCCTCAAACCGTTATCAGCTCTACCCTGAACTGAATCGGACTTGCTTCTAAGAAAGGGGCGGGGGGAAGAATATCTGAAATGCAAATCTGATCACTCCACTTTGGGGTTAGAATCCTCCTAAGGTCACAAGATAGGATTCAGAAGTCCCAGCACACCCGACAAGACCACTCAAAGCTGGCTTCTAGCAGTCACATCAGAGAAGACTGGGTGAGGCGTCTGCAGCTCCCCTTTGGGGCACACATCACGGTGCCAGTGCTGGAGCTGTGGCTGCTGCTTCCTGCCATTGGGATGACAGTGGGACACCCCTGGGGCCTGGACTCACATCTACACTGGACCCTGGAAAATGGTCAAGGTCAGCGGTGTATGGGAAGGGAAGAAACAGAGTTGGACAATTTTGTCCCTAACTAGTGCCAAAAAGACTTTGGAACTAGCAAAGTTCCTGGGCTCAAGTGTAACCGGAGAGCTAAAAACAGTCATATTCCACATGACTGCCACTTAGATCCCCAACCTGCAGAAGACAATCTTTCTAGCTACACAGCAGCCAGGGCTCTGTGGATGCCCAGGTACAACCTCTTAGGATCAAAAGACCTATGGATAAACTGGCCATGGTGCCAGAAGACACATTCCTGCTCTCCATAGTCACCCTGACCTCTGACCCCACAAAGCATCCAGCAGCAGCGAGCATCATGGAGCACAGTGAACAGTGCTCCGTGGAGAAGCTTTCTCCAGAGTAGTACTTCACTAGAGATCATACTTCCGAGACGAGATGGCCACGCTTCTGCCTGCCCCGCTCCTCACACCTCCACCTAGTGCCTTATGTACCACACCACGCTGCTGCAGACCTGGGGAGTCTGTGGAGACTGCTGCTTCTTAAATGCAGAGAAGCAGGGGTCTGCCGGCCAGAGCACCCTCAGGTCCCCGGAACGCTTTATCCAGCAGAGTAACAGGCTGGCACTGCGCTTGTCCCTACTAAAGCATCCGCCCTCCGGAGTCACAGTCCACAGGTCCGGCATAGCGGGGTGGGGCGGAGAAGGAGAGTCCCATCCTGATAGCCAATGCCCTGGTAACTTAGTTACTCTTTTCGCTGCTGTGGCCAAAGGGATCTTTGGGAGGAAGGGATCACAGCTTAATAAAGGGTGCGTGCGGATCATGGTGGCTGAGAAGGCACGGCGGTGGGAGGTACAAGCTGGTTACCCCGAAAGTGGACAGGAAGTGAGGCCAACCTATAAAATCTCAAAGCTGGCTCTTAGTGACGCACTTCCTCCATCGAGGCCCCACATCCTGAAGATTCCACAACCTTCCCAAACAGCATGACCTGGGGGGACATTCCCCATTCTAACTGTACCTGACCTCAACTCCTCTGCTTCTCGCCCTGTGTGTCTGGACTCTGTGATCTGGAGATTTTTCGGCCCCAGGAAATGGTAAGTGGCCTAGTGGGTGCCCAAAGAACCACCAGGCCTGTCAAGCTTCTTTGGCTTCCAAGGGAACAGCATTTGCTGGAGATGAACTTCCTTTCCTCCACAGACTGCTCAGTTTTCAAGGAGTCTGCTGTTTGAGAGAGGGCGTCTCTTCACCCCCAGCACCACAGCAGGCAGCTAATGGAGGAGAGGGCATCCAACCACTCCCTTGTTCTGAGGAGAGGAGCACTTACCTTCGTGAGCTGCTGCTCTGAGGAGAATCCCAAACCAAACACTGTGTTGGCTCTGCTGTCCGCCCACTGCCCGAACTTCTGGGAGGTTTTGGTGAACGTCATGTTCGGGGTGATGGTGCTGTTTATGATCACCTGTGAGGAGACACCCGGGGGAGAGTGTTAACTCTGAACCAGGCCTTTTCTCCCGACAAACCCCAGGGCTACGGGGACTTCCTCTATCATGCTGTATTTGCTCCTGGGCTGTTCTTACCAGGGCAGACACAACCACGAGAAAGGGCAATTTCAGACACTCCATTTCACATTACCAAAAGGAAAGCATCTCTCCTAACACAAGAATGGCTTCCCAAACTGATGTTTTATTGCCCCACAGATACCGAGTATCAAACTGCCCTGAAAGGCTAGTCACGTGTGCATTCCCAGAAGAACTGCCCTCCCCACACCGCACCCCACCTCCGGTTTGAAATCACAGGCACGCTAACATCCAGCAAAACAGTTAGTACTTCCACCAGCAGCCGGTCCTTTGCTTCCCAAGGGGAAAGAGAAGGTTCTGATCCAGAGAGTAGGTAGAGGGCTAACTAGTAAATAGACAAGTCATACTGGTGTGAGCAGGGAGATCGTAAGGGATGGCGAGGAGCCTGGTGCTGGCTGTTACCACCCCTTGACCTCAAATGGAAGAAGAAGTGGAGGCCACAAACCCTGGGAGGAAGGGTCAGATGGAACACCTGCTTTCTTTCTTTCTTTCTTTCTTTTGGTTTTTCGAGACAGGGCTTCTCTGTGTAGTTTATGAGCCCATCCTAAAACTCGCTCTGTAGACCAGGCTGGCCTCGAACTCACAGAGATCTGCCTGGCTCTGCCTCCCGAGTGCTGAGATTAAAGGTGTGCGCCACCGCCACCACCACCACCACCACCACCACCACCACCACCCAACCCCCGCACAGTGAACATGTGTTTTCTAATTTTGTGTTTCTGGTTAACAGAATTGCTGCCATGAAGTAAATGTCCAATGTTTTGAATGATGAATGAATGAATGAATGAAAGCAACATGTTCCAGATGGCCCCTGGGTCAGTCACATACACATCCTTAGGGGCTCCTTGAATGCCAGTAGGTGAAGGCTGATGGAATATAGCATACAGCTCTCAGACTTTCCCCTCACAGGCTTTCCCAGAGTTAGCCACACTGCACTATTTCTTTAAAACGAAACGATGTCTAAGTTATTTTTCGTAAGGCATTTTATCTAATCTTATCTTTAGAGAAGGGGAAAATGAGGCTCAACAAAGTCAAATGGTTTGTTCAAGGTCATAAACCAGCAAGTGGTTAAAAGGGTGTGGATGATGAATGTATGGCTCTCAAAGCAATGGTTAATTGATTCCGAGAGCAAGACCTATTCATCCTGTTTGGGGATCAGTTCCGCTTCTTTGACCTATGAACTCATCAACTTTGGAAACTTCTCAGCCATTCTCTTCACAGATGGCTTCTGTGTATCTTTTCTCCTCACCTCTCTTTCCGCAACTCCGGTTATACATATGCTGGACCTTATGAGTGTGCTGAACATGTCTTACATTGACCAATTACCACCCCCTTCTCATCATGGCTCTCTCTGGTTTAATGTGGGCATTTTCTAAAGATTTACTTTTTATTTTTAATTATGTGTATGTGTTGGGGGAGAGGGTATGTCTGTTGAGTGCCTGTGGAAGTCAAAGGTGCTGGATGACCTGAAGCTGGAGAAATAGTAGGTGGTTGTGAGCCACCCAACATGGGTGCTGGCCATTGAAACAGGTCCTGAGGAAGAGCATTATGTGTTCTTAACCACTAAGCCATCTCTCCAGGCCCCGGTCTGGGCATTTTTAATAGATCTGTTTTCTACTTCACTGATCTTGGTGATTGATATGGTCTATCTGTGGTTAAATCTACCTACTCAGTACCTTGTGTGGGGGGCATGAGGGAGTGAACAGAGAAGGAAGGAGTTTTAATTAGTCAGCTAGTCTTGCTATGTAGCTCAGACTAGCCTTGAACTCACCATCTGCCAACTTCAGCCTCCCCAGTTCTGGGATTCATGACCATTCCTGCCTCCATTGAGTTATTTTTAAAATCTAGCATATTTGATATTTTAAAAATCTATCCCAAGACCAGGCATGGTAGAGCATACCTTTAATTCCAGCGTTTGGGAGGCAGAGGCAGGAAGATCTCTGTGAGTTTGAGGCTAGCCTCATCTACAAAGTGAGTTCCAGGCCAGTTAGGGTCTACTTTGTGAGACCTGGTCTCAATCAAAATCAATCAATATTCTAAATCCCTGAGGATATTCTTCCCTTTGCCTGTTTTGTTCATTTCCTCCCTATCTCCTCAACATATTAATGTATTTATTTTAAAATCCTTGATGCATACGCTGATGCCTGGACCATCTCTGAATCTTATATTATCTGATTTCCCCTCCTGACTCAAGGCATATGGTCCCATCTTTCTGCAAATCTAGTCGTTTTTTTTAATCTCATGCTGAAATATGCAAAGACTCCATAGAATGTGCCCATCTGCCAGAGGAAGCTCCCCCTCTTCTCTGCTGGATGAATTAGGCAGACAGGAAATCCCTTCATCCCAGGGCCAGGCTGGGTTTCAGTTCCCATGAGACTCAGTCTACCTTTGGTTCCCTCCCGGACTTAGAGTAGGCTCTTTAAGGAGTTCAAAAGAGAGATGGGCATCTTCATCTCCTCTGCCCTCAAGGACTGTGGAGTCAGTACTCTGTGAGACGTTTCCAGCTTGCTTTTGTAGCCTATTAAATCCACATATCTTCCCAACTTGGCTGGCCTCTTATATTGGCTTCAGACTTGCTCTGTAGCTGAGCATGACCTTAAACTCCTAATGCCCCTGCCTCTACCTACCAAGTGCCCACCCAACCAGCAAACTGTGAAGGGGAAATTGGCCATGTGTTGGGGTTACTCAAATCTCCCCTTCTGTCATTTAAGCAATGTGATCATCAAGATCTCCACTGGTTTCTCTACCAGAAGTAGCCTTTCTGCAGGACCCAGCTCTGCATATAGTCTTGAGCTGTCCCTAGGCAGTAAGTGCCCAGGTGACAGGGTGTGTAGGAGCCCGGTGTCCCAATGTCCATTCCATACTCTCTCTGGGACTTCCATGTTTTTGTGTATTGTAAACCCTTGGCAGGAACTTGGTTTCTATACACTGTAAATTAAGAAAAATGTCTTGGGTGGGGGAGGGAGAGTCGGCCATTTTGAAGTTTCTCAGTCTCTAGTTTCATATCTTTGGTCACTGCTAAGTGTTGATTCCCGTCCCCCAGCAGTATCTCTGCCAGAGCCAAGCCCCAGCCTTCAGCCTGTATCCGGAACTGGCAAATGTTTACAGGAGAGAGGCTGCCCAGCTTGCCTCTGAGTGGTCCCATCTCTCTAGAATCTTGGTCTCTGGAGTCCTCATCATTCTGTAGCTCTTTGATGCCCTTAAATCACATTTATGGGAATAGGGATGCAGCTCAGTGCCTGAGTCACACGTTCAATTCCCCAATATTGCCCCCCAAAGTCACATTTTCTCACTTGTTATCGGAGAGAACACTGGCCCAGGAGAAGCTATATACCCCACCTAGACGCAAAGTGATGAATCAGGACCAACCCAGACACACATTTCACCATGTGCTTGGACGTTATTCTCCAGTGTTTATGGGAAGCATGCGATCTCTCACAAGATTGCTTTCATGTCCTTTAAGCAAAACTGGGCTCGGGCATGCCAGCCGAGCTTGTTGGTATGAGTTTAAGCTCAGCTACTCTCCAAGCTCAGTAACATGCCTGTATTCATTCAAAGCAGAACTTCCAGACTACTCGCCAGCTGTTCATCTCTCTCCTCTTCCATCTGGAGCACATGATGGAAAGCAGAGAGAGCAAGGAGCAGTCAGACCACAGCGCATACCCCACAGGCTCATCCTGTCTCCTTCCCTTCTGTCTCCCGAACAAAGGGTCCATCTACTCAGTCAGAACCAAGCTTTCTCCTGTCTCCAGGAGTCCTGTGTCTTTGTCCGTAACTCCAGAACATTCCTCCTATCCATACAATTCTTCGGTATACTCCCCTCCACAGGTAACACAAGATTTGTTTGTCCTTTGGACACGAGATGCTGGCCTCGCAGAACTCAGGAGGATTTTGCAGGGGGAGCTGCAGCATCCGCTTCATTCCTCATTAAAAGGTCTGCTCAGTAGTTACCGCTCCCTGTCATCAGCGTGAGGGTGCCAGGGCCCTTATCTACAAGCTGGAGGCGAGCCAGGAGGGGAAAAAGTGAAAGCCACACTTCCCACACTGCCCTTGTAATTCCTCACACTGGCTCCCTGCAGGCTCCACAGTGCCTTAGCTGGTTCTTAACAGTTTACCCAAGGTTCTGGGATTTCCTAGATCCAGAAGGAAGGAAGAGAGGGGAGGAGAGAAAAGAAACAGTGCAAGGAAGCCATCGTTGAGTACTACAGCATCACTTTACTGTGCCTTAACTAGCCGAGGTAGTCAGTCCGAGCAATGTCACAGCCAGCGTAGTTAAGTCCAGATGTAAGGAGACAGCTGGCTGGGTACCCTCCCAGAAAACCCAGAGTGTCGACCTCAAGAGTAGCAAGAATGACACACCGTAAGCATGCTGTCAAAAGATCCCCAGCCTTGGATCCTTCCTTCTCTTGCTGCTGACATGGGAACAGCCCCTGGCTATACCTGCCTTGTCCACGGAGACTGAGTCCTTCAGACAGGTTGGGCAGCAGCTGCTAAGGCCTGTTCCTTCTGGATCTGCCTCTCCCAGGCTCTGTCTGTTCCTTCCGCCTAAATGTGTTTGCACCTGAAAGGCTTGTGTTTCTCCTGGAGACTCTAGCTCAGCTTTGGCGCTCGCCCTTCTCAGGCATGGAGGAAGGAAGGAAAGGACATGAATACTTACAAAAAGATCCTTTGAAAAGCAATGTTTCTGTTTTTTGAAAAAGTACCTTGCTGTAGCCTAGGCTGGCCTTGAACTCGAGAACCTCCTGACTTAGCTTCCCAAGTGCTGGAATGTAGGCATGCACCTCTAAACCAGCTGAAAAGACCTTTTTTGGGGGCAAGATTTATTTATTTATTTATGTACTTTATGTATATGAGTGTGCTCTGTCTTCATGCACACCAGAAGAAG